TGACGTGGCTCCTATAAAATCATACGCGGACACCAAAGCAACGTAAATCGAAATGGACAACTACTTTCGAATCCACCAGGCAGGTTATATAAGACTCCATCTTCCCTATTCATGCCTTTCCTCGTTCTTTTACGACCTCAACGACTTCTCTGCGTTGGATATCATCTCTCCCCCTCAAGCTACATCCCAATTTTCTATCTCGAAGTCTCTGCTTTACGTTACGACTCAACTTTTATCCTTTTAATAATTTTCTTAATCCGAGTCCGCTTTCAAGTAGACATTGAAGATTAGGGTTTCGAATTTGAATTTGGATTTTGTTAATTCTAAAAAAATTGACAGATGGCTAATTCTAAAAAGCAAGAATTCAACGAAGATCGCGTTGAACAATCAAACAGCAACGACTTCGACGACTCATCATCGATCTTGAACGCTGGCGGAACATCAACCGCTGGATCTGGTAGGGTTTCGAGAGAGCGGAGTGAGATTAGTTTAACCGAGCGATTGACGGACATTCTAGTGGACCAAGGAGACGGAGATTTGTTGCTTCAAAGGAACGATCGTGAAGACAGGGTTTTGCAGTGGCTGCAAGCGCTAGATATGCAGGTCATTGGAGCTTGCAGAGCTGATGAGAGGTTAAAGCCGTTGTTGAAATTGAATGCTTCCAGTAGTGTGGCTGAGGATCGGCTCCTAGCGCATCTCAGTCAGGTAACTATTTATTATCGAATCTCTTCTGTTTGTTCTTTTGCAAAAAAGTTGGCTGATTTGGTTTTTATTTGTGTGGTCTGAATAGCACTTTGAGCCGTCGGAGGTTGGTATGCTAGCTAGGTGTTTCTGCATACCACTGGTTTCGATTCGTGCTGGGAAGATTAACAAGCAGGGGACTCTACTGTGCCCGACTGCCATAAGGTAATTGATTTTATGTGGATGTGTTTAGTTTGATTGTATATTTATGTGCTCTGTTCTTGCGTTTTTGTGTTGACTGAGGTTTTTTGGGTGGAAATAATGACTTAAACCCTGATAACTGAATGTCCGTGTGTTTCTCATTTTGTTTTGAATGCTATAATTCTACCTTGTGCTATACCGTAGCAGTGGTTCTATGTTTTGTGTTGTTGAATTTTTACTCTGATTTTTCTAAGTGGTGCTATTTTATAGTCTTATATAATTGGATGAGCTTGATATTCTGACCTGCCACTTTATATTTTTTGTGCTTTATGCATATATTTATGTGAAGTGTGTGATTAAGGGTGATCTGGTGCTGTTGACCAAACGCTAAATTGATTTATGAACAGCCCTTGTGTGTGTTAGGAGTTAACCTATTTGTTTTGTTGGTTCTTTCACTTTCTATTGTAATTTGATCCAATCATTCATACTATTTGCGTCATCTTGTGCATTGTTCATTTTGATTTAGTGTTTTGGATTACCATCTGATATGAGGGCAATTTCTGTTCTATACGAGTGGAATGAACTCAAATCACAGTGCTCTTTTGACTACATGATACACATGCATATCTGGCTGCTGTTGAATGACTGTTGGCTATGGCTGTTTCATGGCTGCATCATCGAGACACTAGAATTGACTTTGTGCACAGTTGGGTTTTGCTGTTGATGCAGTGCAACCAAGTGAAAATTGGTCTAATGGCTGTTCCTTGTCAAGTTGGTTATTGATTAAAAAGATTTTCTATCCTATACCCCTCCTATAATCTCTCTTGTGCATACTTGGATAGGTTTCTTGTGGAATTGACTTTTCATTCGAGCGTTTTTACATTAGTATTTAGTTCATTTTTAATATTTTGTAATAAATTGTAGAGTTTATTGTGGTGATAATGTTCACACTTCCAAGTAAAAATATCTTTTGACTTGTAGGTAAAGTGGGCGTATTCTATTATGATCTCTGAATTATGAGGAAGTAAAGGTAGTTTCATCTCTCACATATGAGTACACAACTTGCTACTGCTTTTTGAATACACGGGAATTGCATTTTAACTGGACTTGAAATTGAGTGTGAATAGTCTCATATTAGTTTAACTTCCTCGTGCTAAGTTCAAGATGTAATCTGCATGCTACTTTACAACATTTGCTTGTGAAATATTGAGTTCAGCAAGCACTTTCTTATCACTTGTCATTATATTCTTTAATGCATGTTACTATTTCTCTATGTTAAATTTTCTAGTTTATGGCCATGAACTCTACAATTTCTTCGAGCATGATTTCAGGGTATTCTGAAGGATGTTCCTTAATTATATTTCTATAAAATAACATCACAAGCAATCCTACTTCAAGATGGTTTTAAGCGAGAAGAAATTAGTGAATATAGAATGAGCACTCATTAAATTTATTGTTGATGTATGGAAATGTTAAAGCCATAGACCTCATTGAGGAGCAATTACCATGTGACGTTGGACAAGCTTGTGGTGGAAGTAATTCAAACTGAAATAGATGAGCTATAATATGCTAGCTTGTGGGTGTCTGTTGAAAGAGTATGCAATCGATCCATAATGCAATCAGATAGGTTGTGTGTGATTTAATGAATAGCAGCTAGAGTGGAGCCCATTGCAGTCATTATAAAGTTTGATTCCTTCAAAATGGTGAATATTAGTTCGAATTTGTAATTATAGCATCTAGGGCTGCAGATCTAGCAAACATTGATAATGATATTATATTGTCTAGCCTCACAAACTTGTTGATTTTGAGCATTAGTATGTATCTCTTCTGCAGACTCTTCTTAATTAAACTAAGAACTCAGTATAAGTTTTATATGCTGGCATAGTGCATTTAAAGATTCACTGCTAACTATGATCTTTTTAGTGGGTTTTTCTGTTTCTAGTTGCAGTTTTTTGTTTTAGATTTCTAAATCATTTCCATTTATCCTTGTTCTTTCAGGGGGGATTTAAATCTTACACTGTTGCCAACTTCTGATCTGCGCTTCTCATTCAGCAGTGATGATGGTAATACAGAAAGGCTGTTCACCCTAAGTGGTAAAACCCAATGTGCTGCTGTTGAAGTTAATGAGATTACTGCTGACAGTTCTGGCCGATCTTTCAGCTTAAAGATGTCAGATGGCAGAGTTTTTTACTTTTGGTGCTCGGAGAAATCAAAGCTTCTGGGAATTGAATTGCTTGCAAAGGTATATACAACAGCCTCTTGGGTGATGAAATGCATGCACATACATATGCACTGTGTGGTTAGAACTAATTTAGCTTTGAAACTTACATATGATGATTGCTGAGATACTGCAAATAATTTTCATGGACATTTTCTTGAGGAAAAAATGATTAACTCAACTTTGCATCAACTGTAGTCTGGGTTGCATGAGCTAGTTTTTCTTTCTCTTTACTTCCCTCTCCAAGTTCTCTCGCAATTAATCTGAACGTGAATGTTAGTTTGAAGTTTTTGATTCAGGAAGTTACCATATTATCATTAATGAGTCTGTCTTTGAAATGCTTTTCAGTGGTTACTAATGCATGTATCCTCTTTCTTCAATGATAGATGAAAGATGTACTGAAGAGGAAACCGTCTATAGCTGATTTGACTGGAATCAGCAAGTCACGTCTTGATTGCTTTGCAACTCACCTTCGTGCCTACCTTGTGGGAAGCAATGGCCAGGGAATTTCTGCTTGCTCTCCTGCCTCTTCCTCGACCACTCCTGAAACCTCTGATTCAACCTCCACAACAAAGTCTCTGCGCACCAGACATATTGGCAATCAAGCGGTAAAAACATATTCAGCTTATCAGGGAAGCCTCAGTCCAAGATCAAGTTCCTTCAAAGAGGGCTTACCCAGAAGCTTGTCTTCTTTAAGGAGTGCTGCCAGGGAAAAGTTAAGGCGGCGTGTGGACAGCCATCTTTCAGCAGTTGATAACATGATGGCTGCATTGCCACTCAGCAATGATGTCTCTTGCAATCAATCTGAAAATGAGAAGTTGCAGGAAGCTAAGAGTTGCCGCCCTGTACCCTCCAGTGTTCTTGAATCTCTTGGTAGATTGTCTTTGCCACCATTTCAGCTCCCTGTATCTCATGTTTTGTCAAGTCCACCTCTCACTCCATACTATTGTTGGTGCCCCCAAGGTGCATCGACCTTGCAATATCCTTCCACACCTTCAGAAATCTCAACCTCATCTGTTGATTCACCTTTACTGCCACCCCTTCCTCCATTTTTATCTGCCAGCAGGCCATCCAACCTGTTAAGTCCTATACCATCTCTCAGTTTGGCTGACCTTCCCTCACTGGATTTTCCTGTTTTGCTGCCAGACCAACTAGTTCGGTTGCCAATTCCAAGTTCACAGCAAATCCCAACTTTCACTCCTTTAATGTGCGATCCGATTGTTCACATTCCGGTCATTGATGTTTGTTCCTCAGGTCAAGGCTACCTAGTGAGTGCTGGACCAACTATTGCAACCACCATTCCACCTTTGCATACAAAACTTGTAAACCCACTGATCCCTAATACTGCTGATTCTGTGGTGGAGAAGGGTGCGAGAGAGACTCTGAGATTACTCATCAGTAGTACAAGCCAAACCAATCCTCAATTTATGGATGTTTTGCCTGCTGTTTTAACCAATTCTGATAAGAAGAGTATGTTGACCACCGGAAGCTGGAGCCTTTACTCAGGAACCAGAGACGTTGATGCTATTGCAAACAGGATTGCCACCATGGGCCTGGTTTCATTTTCTGAGTACTCTATAGGAGATTCTGTTGCAGAGATGAGTGGCAGCTGTGACAATACCAATACTTTGCCTGACAGTCTGCCAGATGAATCTAGTGCTATGGATGGGCCATATTCAGATGATGATTGTAGGTTTTCAAACGCTGAGGAAGGAACCAATTAAAGGCAGTTTTGCATTACCACTGTGGATCTGTTTTTGTCCCTAATGTGTAGATACGTTTCCCCAGCCCTGGCAATCTGAATTGTAATTATTGCAAATCCTGCTGGAATTTGTTCCACCCCTATTCCTTGATCTTGTTATTGGGTAGAAATAGAACTATTGTAATATGTTTTTTTCTTGTGTTGCCTAAATAGAGGTGTTTTTGTTTTCTGTTACTTTTGAGAGCCTTGATGCTATCGGCCAGACGCATATAATGCCTGATCATCTGAGGAGTGCCAATTGTATGTAAAAATGGTTTCCAGTCGTTTCCTTGTCCGTAGGTGGCATTTAATTTCTCATGCGGAGTGTCTTGAACGCTTGTAGGCTGCCCGCGACTGAACGCCTTCCTGTTTGTTTGTTAAGATATTTTAATTTTTTTTTTTTCAATTTTAAATTAAATTTTATGATATATTTTTGAATAAAAAAAACACGCTGGAAGCCGCCTGCGACATATATCCTGCAATTTACACCTTGGATAAACTACTTGATTTCCTTTTCTTTTATGACTCCCTGTGACATATATCCTACTTGATTTCCTGTGACATATATCCTGCAATTTTTATGACATATAGCTAATTAAAGTTACCTTTATCATTTCCTTACCAGTCAAGCATGCGAGCTGCGACTCTCTCCTAATTTTGGAGAGCATTGCTTAATCTCTCGTCTCTATGAATTTTAATGAAAACACAGACTTTGGCACGCCAATGAGACTGGATGTCTGGAGTCCACGTTCATCGACAGAACTAGTTCCAATGGGAGTGCCACGATTTAAAGTTTTCCATTTAGCAACAGACTGAATCCCTTTATGCTATTGACTATTTTTTATTTTTTTGACTAATCAATTCATTAGTTTGGTTGATTGGATTTTTTTGTTGGTTAAGTATAATGAACAGCACCTTAAGCTGGCTCCATGTCGGTACGGTAGCGAGGTACTTCTGCATGCCACTGGTTTCGATTCGTGTTGGGAAGAATAAAAAGCAACTAGCCTGCTCTCTGGTAATAGAGTTCACATGAATATCAGATTGTTTACTTAGGGCGTGTCATGTGTTCTCCTGCTATGAAGTTATTGCACTGATTGAGGTTTATTTGTGGACATAAATTACTGATTCTGAATATGGAATTTCAATTTACATTTGCTATAGAAATTTTTATCTGTATTTCAGTAGGATGTTTATGAATTCCTTAATTCATTTTTATATTTTATATTTTGGATAAAATATTACTCTGATTTCTCTATTTGAGGCTATTTCGTTGTTCTAGCTGTCAGGAGCTTTGTCAAAAATTGCGGAATAAAAGAATACTCAAAACTCAACTAATCAATTGTGCTATCTGACAATGCTTGCAACTACCAATGGGAAACAGGAATTCCTAATGGAGCTGTGTCATTTAATGGGTGATGAATTTCTTTATGAACTCGGAAAGCTTTTACATTTTAGAATTAAAAATGAAGCCATTGTGGTTAACAAATTTTCAGTTATACCTCCTTTATTCATTTGACCTGGCTTTCCTTTCTGTTTTTTATTTTTTACCTGTAATGATTAGAAAGGGATGATATTCTTGGCACTTTGAAACAAATTGCTGGAGGAGCTGCAGAAAGCCTTGTGCCCGGAGGAATGCTCCGCTTTCTAATGATTTTGGATTCAAACTGGGAGACGAAAACTGCAGCTCTTAAAATTTGATTAAACATGGTATAAGATGCATTGAAAGTCAAGAAACCCTTGCTGCTTTTTTTCCTAGAGGCCACTGGCCGATTACAAGTGGCTTTTAAATACCTGGCTGTTGAACAAGATCAAAGGTTCAAAACTTTACATGTCTTTTCCTCTATAGGCGGTGTGTTTGTGGTCCTGAGTTAGACGCCTAGTTTCGACCAAGAAACAAGGACAATACGTATTTGCGGTCCTTGGTGTGGATCTGGCTTGCCTTTAATGGGGTTTTGTTTCGCGATAGTGGGAGCAAATATCATCGCAAGCAAACAGCTGTGTCTCGACTTCGAGATGGGGTTGAGCCTTGTTATCTCCCAGCCACCACAGCCTGTAATGGAGTAATGCCTTGATGGCACGACCTTTGAGTTCGAAGGGTCATTAAGGATTTGGTGAGGGACGACCTTATAGCCTGAATGGAACTTGCTATATTAAATAAAAGGCCAAGTACTTAACCATCAGTCAATTAATTAATAATTATCACTTATGGGGACCTGGCTTCAAAATCTATCAATTCAGCCTTAAAACGGAGAAGGACGTGTTTTCGCCACGAAATCCAAAATGCCAAGGACATGGAGACCCCATCAGAAAAGGATGCGTTCCGTCTCCAATATCAAACCAGCCCCGTTTAAAGGCAAGAATCCACCTAGCACCGCGGGTGAGGCCTTCATCTTTCCACAATCCCATTCCACCGCAAAAGCCATGACCAGCTTTTAATTAGCAGAATCATTGCCATTGTTTCAGTCAGCAGGGATACTCATGAATAGCAATTCTATGGAGAGCATGAATGTAGCCGGTTAGAACGACGGTTATGCTTGTTCATAAATCAAAGCTGCAACAATCCCAAGAAAAAAAAAATGGAGGCATAACATGTATATTCACCGAATCCTTTCTATAGAATTGCAAGTCGGAAACTTTACTTTCAGATTATTGAGGTATTATCCCTTAAAAAAAACGGATGTTGTCAATAATCTCAAGTAGGAAACAGATTAGAAAACACGATCCAATAAGAGAGGAAGCTTGGCCTGATGTCCATCGGGGGATTAATTATTGACAGGCCTTTATCATTGATTGATAGGCTTCAAATAAGAGTGGTAGCGTGGCCCGCTGTCAAAGGAGGAGCATCTTAATGCTAGTGATATAAAACAATATCCTAGAGACAAAACGTACTATGGCAACGAAGAGAATTCAACGAATGGCATCTTGACAACTTGGAGCGATAGCAAGAATTTTATGGGCAGGCAGGCAACACTTCGCTTTAAAGACATGCATCCAGCATAAGAGCCTAGCGCGTACGTGCGGTTGAGTTCGAAGCCTCTTTAGATTTATAGCATCTCTTTCTAAAAAACCTTGGAGGCTTGCTTAGTTCAATTTTAATTTTTTAATATATAAATTACAAGAAAATCCCTATAATTTTTCAATATAAGATTGAGGGTTTTAGATTTATAAAATATATAGACTAAAATTTTTGGAAGATTAATTTTTTTCTTCATTCATAATTAATTTTAAATAATTTAAATTTCATGTTAAATTAATTATTTTTATTGAAGAATAATTTTCAATAAAATTTTAACTCTAAAATTCACTTATAATATGATCTCAAATTGCACGTAATTAACCATGTTACTAGCTAGAACAAATTTCTAATATTAACATGTAATTTTTCAAAAAAAAAAAAAAGCTCAGAGTATGAATAAAACGTCCTGACTGCAATTAATGTTTATAACAGTGCAATAATTCCGACATCATGTATTGCTAATGTTGCCTTGCTCTGGTGGTTTATCGAAGTTACTTCTTCTGGTAAATTAAGATTAAAAGCAATTTCAGTGATTTCTTAAACCTTCTTCAATAACGAATTCGACAAGTTTTCATCGGTTTATCTCTTATTATTAATCATATCACGCCATGTTTCTCAGATAGGAAGATATCTTGATTCTAATTTATTTTTTTAGTACAATAGAAATTCTAGAGTCTTAACGTTCAATAACTATTCTGCTCCCTGTAAATATGATTCTCTCTCCATAATATACAGTAAGTAGGCCAAGCCGGGAATGGATATTTCCTTAGACGGATTCTCTGTGTTTTGTTTTCCGTGCGTGCATGGAAAAATAGCTTTAGCCTTTAGGCATGCACTAGATGGCTAGAGTTTCCATTTAGTGGCATATATACTGTTGGGAAAACTTGAAACAACCGAACACCAATTTATCTGGATCAATTCAGCGGAATACAATTACAATTCATAAGTCCCAATTCTTTCCCTCTTTGTGCAGTAAAACAGAATCAAACAATGATGAAAAATAATGCAAATAATCACAAAATCAACACCAAGATTTTTAACGTGGAAAACCCGATGCAGGAAAAACCACGGGACCGTAGTCCACCTAAAAACTTCCACTATCAACAAATAATGGGTTCATAATCATTCTTCCTCAGATTCAACTAAGGGATACAACATATATATCATCAAGAACAACTTATTCTCGGATTACAACAAGATTAAAGGAGAATTATTTGAGAAAAACTCACAAAACTGACAGCCCTGTTTTTTGTCAAAACGGCCAGCTTTCACACCACCAATCTTCGATCCAACCGTTCAGAATGAAGATCAACGTGTCTAGAAGCTTCTGTCAAAATCTCAGCCCGATCCAACGGTGAACGAGCTGGAAATCGAAGAAAGAATGAAGGCTGCTCTGCTGCCTTTTCTTCTCTTTTTCTCTCTTGATTTTCTTCTCCTCTCTTCTCTTTTCAAATCTGTTGCTACAGTACCCGAACCACACTAATATTAACACCAAGAGACAGCCATTACATGACATTTAATGTGATGGTCCCACCATCACATGGTGTGGGACCATACACAACAAATCTCCCCCTCACACACCATGTGAGGAATTCGCCATACCGGTGATCAATATGTAAAATTCAATTTAGGAGGCTCTGACAAGCCTGCTTCCTTTCTGCAAAACTCAAACTTCTCTCTCGGTAGAGGTTTGGTCATCATGTCAGACACGTTGTCATCAGTATGGATCTTCTCAACAACGAATGACTTCATCTCCATAGCATCTCGAATCCATTGATATCTAACCTCAATGTGCTTTGATCGAGAGTGAAAAGTGGGATGCTTACTGAGATGGATTGCACTTTGACTGCCACAGTGCAACACAAAGTTCTCTTGAACTAGACCAAGTTCATGCAAGAACTTCTTCATCCATAACAACTCTTTGCCCCCTTCAGTAAAAGCAATATATTTGGCCTCTGTAGTGGATAATGCAACACATTTTTGCAACCTTGATTGCCATGAGACTGCTCCCCCTGCAAACTTCATCAAGTATCCTGATGTGGACTTTCTAGAATCAACATCACCAGCCATATCTGCATCTGTGTATCCATCCAACACAGGTTTATCATTACCAAAACATAAACTGAAATTAGAAGTACCTTTGAGATACCTGAGTATCCATTTCACTGCTGACCAGTGTTCTTTACCAGGATTGGAGAGGAACCGACTAACCACACCAACTGCATGAGCTATATCCGGCCTTGTGCAAACCATGACATACATCAAGCTACCAACTGCGGATGCATAAGGAACCTTTTTCATCTCATCTTTTTCTTCATCACTTGAAGGACACTGCTTAGAACTTAGTTTAAAGTGGCTTGCAAGTGGAGAACAAACAGGTTTGGAGTTGCTCATGTTGAATCGCTCAAGTACCTTTTGAACATATCTCTCCTGAGATAGCCAAAGTTTTCCCTTCTTCCTGTCACGTGTGATCTTCATACCAAGAATCTGTTTTGTTGGTCCCAAGTCTTTCATTGC